GCATTTAAACTTTAAAACCCCAATATATGCATTATTTTGCAAATTTACAAGATTCATAAAATTTCTGAGAAAACTTACACTTGGTAATTATGATAAGATGAAATTAAACACACATCAGCTGAGTAGATATCTATTAAGAAACACTTGATAGGGATATCAAAACAAATTAAAAAAAATCATAAAAGTGGGTCCCATATAAAATACCAACTGATGTTGTATGAAGAACAGAGGGCCATCATGAAAACACCACATGACGAATTTACACACTTAAATACAAAGGTGAAGTAGGCGCATTAACAGGAAAAGTGTGATGTTGCATGTGCTGCACACTTTTCGTAATGTCATATCACAAGTAGAATGCAGGTGTATAGTCCTTCCAGAGCTCGCTATATAGTCTGAATAGGCTGTACACATGTTTAATGTAAATACCAGCCTTTCATATAAATGTCTGAAAAATTTTCTGACTTCTGTTCAACAAATATCGTAAAAAAGGAGGAATGTTTACAAAAAGTAAATATCAACAGATTTCATATAAATACCAACACATGATATCGGCTTGAGTATTTCTCAGATAAATTAATCTTAACTATATCAATATAAAAACATTATAATCTTGTTTCTCCTTTTTAGTGAAAGTTGTGTATATTGGGGCTTTGACTGAAAAAAAGTAAAAAAAAATTGGGGGGGAAAACAATTAATACTTCACTAATTGTTGTTTGACAGATGCAGATGGTATACAATAATACTTCTATTGAAACTCAAGATGAAGATATGTAAACATTGTTACTCACTTTACATTTGTATAGACTGTACAAGCTGCGCTGTATCATTATTGTTTCAAGAACTATATACAACATTTTTAGTCACCGTATTTACATACACCTAAACACAAAACATGGTGAATTACCATGATGGTTATGTACTGCCACTATCATTAAATACATACACCTAGAAACAAACAAGAGGTCCAGATGGCCTGTATTGCTCACCTGGATATTGAAGTCAATAATGCAAAACTTTACATTTCTTTAGAATGAAAATATTTCCCCCGATCAGCCTCACACCACAAAAACAACTTCAAGTTCCCTAGGGGTGGGGACAGAGATCAGTTGTTTATATCTTGATGTCAAACAATGCTATTAAGTTACGGGATCATAATTCATCAAAGATATAATCTGTCCTGGGACCAGACCCCAGCACAAATGATCAGTTTTGATTGTGTTTATCTCGTGATGCTCAGCAATGTTATATCTTTTCAGCAGGATCACAACAAAGAACAAAAGATCCAAATGAATTGTTGATGGTGCAAAGCAATAATATGAAAATGATCTATATCTACTTGGGTTAGATTTTAATTGTTGGGGCTCATGCATCAGGCCCAAGGAGGCCAAAACTCAGGCTTTATACAAAACTGATTTCCCTTCACCCAAGCATGCTTCAGACTAAATATGGAAAATATCCTACCATTCCTAAAAAACAAGATAGATTTTTAAAAAAATTGATTGATTTTCCCTTATGGACCTTGCCCATCTGGCACTAGGAGACTGAGACCCATCATTTTTATCAAACTGATTTTCTTTAATCCAAGCATGCTTTGGACCCAATATGGACAATATTCTGCAATTCCTAAAGTAGAAGATACATTTTACAGAAATAGACAGATTGGGTCTGCCCACCTAGCCCCAGAGGGCAGAGACCCAGGTTCATACACAACTGATTTCCCTTCCCGAAAGCATGCTTTAGACCAATTTTGGACAATATCCTGCAATTCCTGAAGAACAAGATAGATTTTAAAGAAATTCATAGATTTTTCCTGCTTGGCTCTGCCAATCTTGACCCATGGGACTGAGACTTACCATTTATACAAAACTTATTTCCCTTCACCCAAGCATTCTTCAGACCCCATCATTTGCAAAAAATTGGTTTCACTTTCCTTAAGGATGCTTCAGACCGAATTTGATGAAAATTTGCTCAGTCGTTCATGAATAGTTGCAATATATAGTAAAAGCTGACAGATGCCAGACACCGGATGATGGACGCTGCAGTATCCCTATAGCTCACTTGGCCCTTCGGGCTCATATTATACACAAAATGTAGTTAGTTATCATGGTTACATAATAATACCTACATGCAAAACATTGTTTGTTATTATGGTTTAATACTTAAAATATATACACACAACATGGTAAGTTATTAGTTACTATGATTACACACTTACTTGCTGTACAGACTCCACCAACTGCACTATATCCATTACTGTCATAGTACCCAGAGACACATCTACAAACATTTCCTGCAGAATTACCAGCAATGCACTCAGAATTTGTATCACCACACAGAATTGCACCACATGACTGACTCAGTTCTGCCTCTGTAATTTGAATTTTATTTTGTTGATAGATCATTTTATTCACTTAAAAACATAATATATGGTTCTGATGGTTTTAATGGTCATCATTTACAGTGTTAATTCTCATTTTACTGTGAAATTTTAACATTTCATTATTTATAAGGTATAAGGTAAAATTACATCATGTGACCTTTATTCTTGATGTAAGTTTGATTTCCCTTTCTTTTCTCTTCTTTACTCTTATTTATATTTAACTTCATATTATATAGACAGTTGATTTAATCATATAGTACCTGTACCATCAATAAACAATTAAAATGACCACTTATCAGCCTTCTTATATTCAGATTAGTCACAAAATGACACCACATTAGGGCACAAAGGGAAGGTTATTTCCAAAGTTTGAAAAACATTCTTTCAGTGCATCACATATTTTTCACTGTGAAAAACCAAGAAGAATGCCTACTGGCAACTTGTTTTTCTTCTGATTATCAGTAGTTAGAAACATAATTAATGCATAACAACAGACTAAAGGGAACCTACACAAGAAATGCCAAAAGCAAACTTTCACTCTCAATATGGCAGGTGTACATGGAATCCTACTGACCATCACAATATGTTTGAATGTAAGATCATAACTATAACTCTCAGAGGGATCAATGTCTCTTGGTGAACAAACAAATCATTGGTCTTATGGCATTTCTATTTTGGAACTGACTTTCGAACATATGCCACAAACAAATTGAATCCAAATTTGGTTGACCACTAACCACTGACCATCAAAAATGGAGAACAAGAACACAAAGTGAGCAGGATGCATAAATACAACCTGTCTACCACAATGACCTATGTTACAGTGATTAATACGCTATGTTGTAATGAATACAACATCTTGGTGAGTGACCTGGGCCTAAAAACCATCGTGCTGTGCTCTGTGATATCTGTTCAAACTGATACCATATTAACTGACATTTCCCAAAACACTAAAACATCCACAAAAAATGTTGACTGGCAATGTACAACTTACACAATTGATATTTATTTTCACATTCAATAACCATTGAACTATAAAATCCAATTCTGAAACAGATACTTTACTGGAAGACAATAAGGGGGATTTCCCTTCCCTTTCTGTCTTTAAATACCTGTATGAATCTGATAAGAAACATCCTCAAAAACTTTATCTTATACCTAAATATTAACAGCTTGCAATACAAATTTGAACAGATCAAAGAATGTCTCGCTCATTACACTGTTGACTTATTTTTCTACTCTGAAACCCTCCATTCAGTCTTAACAAGATAATTATGCAAATTACTGTCTCACAAAGCTCAACCAATATACCTCAGGTATGAAGTACCAGTGACAAGTATTATAGGAGATAAAGCCTGAACAAGATAGTAGAAGGACAGGCAGATGGACAGACACAATGCAAAATCATAGACTTGCCTGGTTCCTAGTAAGGAACTGATAATGGGGAGCTGAAAAACATGCACTTGGAGGAGGCATATTGACATATTACCATTCAGACTGGCCACCATGTCAAAACGATAGACTTTCACAATATAGAATACCAGGTAAATATCTATTAAACTAGACCTAAATAATGCAAATGGCTGATATTAGGTGTTTATCATCCTTGCTATGGCAAAGTTCTCAACAAATAATTTTGCAAAACTTTCAATATTTGTACTACAAAATGATAATCTAGTTATTATTGGCAATATAAACTATATCCAATGACCCAATGAAAACAAAGAAAAAAGATTAAACCATGCACCATTCATGGAGAAATTACTTAAGTCAAGAAATTGATCACAAGACAAGATGCCAAAGGGACCTTAATGGCCACCTAAGAATTCAAGAGAAGAGGCAATGACCTTTAGAAATTGTGACCTTGAAACTATGCTAAAATGTTCTGCATCTTTCATATATCATGGAAGAAAAAAAGAAATCCACAGTTTAAACACTTGTTCCCTGCTCTTTGACTCTGTGACCAAGAGAGTTTGCAAAAATGACCTTTATAAAAGTACCTACAAGCATATTTCTATACACAAAAAGTTGACAGTTTTGGAGAAAATTGGTTGTATTGATAATTCTAAGTGCCAAAGACCTTATGCCTTTGACCTTGTGGCCTTGAATTTGTGAAAATAATTTACACATCATCCCTTCAATTTTAAAATGCATATACCTATACCAAAAGACGTTTTTCGACCAAATGGCCATTTTTGTTTCTTATTTCTAAGTGCCAATGATCTTTGAGCTTTCAACCAATGACCTTGAAACTATGAAAAAGTAATCCTTACAACTTTCATATGCATATGCCTAACAATGAGTAGATTGTTTTTGAGCAAATTTAGGATTTTGGCCATGTTCAACACTTGTCCCAGTCTAGAGGCTGAATGGCATATACAGAGGTTAAGGATTTTACAATTTTGGTAGACTAACGATAGGATATAACCATAAAAAGTAGAGGGGAAGATTTCTAAAAAATAACCTTATTGTTCATGGTTTTTGCCCCACCACTAGGGCTCCTGAGGAATGGGGACCACAAATTTTGCAATTTTGATGCCTCTTCTGGTATTGATGCTAGTGACCAATTTTAGTTGGAATTGGTTCTTAAGAAGTTGAAAATGTAAAAACTTGACATAATGGACAATGACAGACAAAGCATGATCAGAAGAGGTGACTATTACCAATGGTCAGATGACTTAAAAATGCTCAACAACTAGATCACATCAAACTGCACAATATATAACTGAGAAAAATACAGAACACAATGACTCAAGGTCAATAAACTCAGAAAATAATCAATAAAACATGACAGTATGGATATATGAAAACTGTCATGTGACTGAATAACGTATATAAAATATTTATATCTGTACTTAACTGAAACCAAAAACTGAACCTGACTTACTTGTAGTAACTATGACAGAAGCATCAGATTCAATCTCCTGTGTTGCTGCGCGACTTCCTGTCTCTTGTGATATGACATTAAATGTATAAGCCGTGCTCTGTGTCAGTCCTGTTATAGTTGTAGATGTTCCTGTTACCACAGGAGACCTTTTAACTTCTGCAGTACTAGTACTCAGCTTCCAGATCACAACATAACCAGAAACCTGAGAGGAGAATGAGGATTCTGTCCAGCTGATGTTTACTTCTGTAGTAGTTACTGATGAGGATGTAACAGCGGTCACCTTCAAAGCATTCACTGGAAGTCACAAGTACTAATGTCAGGATGACGTTTACTTCCAGGGACATTCAATAATGTGTAACAATAAATAGAATACTTATTACTACAAGTAATAAAAAGAATACTAATTACTATGCTATGATAAACAGAGCACTAATAATTACTATTACTTAAATGATCATGCCACTCTTGTAGAATAGTGTTGAATAATTTCATAGAATGTGAGATATGTTACATTCGATAGGAAATAACAATATTGTAACAAAAGTAATGTGGTTTTGAGATAAAGACAATTAGCATTAATATAACTCACTAAGTCTGCTGAGGTGATACTGCATAAACAATATACGAGGGCTGACTGATAAGTTGTGAGCCTTGTATTGCAGAAGTTAAGCAAAGAAGTCTTTTTTCAGCCCTATTTTCCCTGAATATTTAAGGATGTGTACCCTAAGATTGTGTCAGTTGGTCAGTTTATGTCGAAGAGGTAGCACTCTTAAAGTAGAAAAGCCAAGTGACTTTTGCAAAGTGGACAAAATTGTTGAAAGAGCAGTGATTCAATATTTGCATAAAAGTCCAGAACCTATGGATATCCATACTGATATGGTAGCATCACTATGGAATGTTGCCCTTTAAATATGTTACAGTGAAAAGGTGTGTGGCAGAATTAAAGTGTGGAAGTGTGGCAGGCAGTCTGTCACTGTTGCAACCCCAGAAATGGTCAATACAGTCCATGATATTGTTATGGCTGAGGCGAATTACAGAGAGATAAATAGTTAGTACAGTTGGAATTTCACAGTAAGTAGTATTTTCCATTCTTACTAAAGATCTTGCAATGAGATAGCGCTAAACTTGTTGGATACTAGACTTCTGATAATTGATCATAAGCACACCAGGCGGACTTTGTCGCATGCTAATCTGAATTAAGCTTTTAGAGGGAGATCCTGCTAATTTTCTGCAGAGGTTTGTGACTATGGATGTAATGTGGGTCCATCATTTCATCCCCGAAGCCAAACAACAGTTTAAACAATGATAGCACCCTAGGTCACCTCGCCAAAGAAGGCAAAGGCTGTTCCATCAGCTGAAAAGATTATGATCTCAGTTTTCTGGGATGGTGATGGTATTGTGATGGTAGATTATCAGCAAATGAGACAAACAATCAATGACACATAATTTGCATCACTTCTTAGGCAATTAAGTGAAAACATTAAACTCAAGCACCATGGAAAACTAAGTAAAGGTATGTTGTTCCACCAGGACAATGCCCTTATTCACAAGTCTGTCATTGCCGTGGCTGCTATCAACAACTGTGACTTTGAATTGATTGAGCATCCGGCTAATTCACCTGATCTTGCTCCATCAAACTTTCATCTTTATCCATAAAAAGGCCATTTCTGGTTCTCACTTTCGGTCAGATGATGACATCATACATGCATTCAAGGACTTTCTGAACGGTCAAGAAAAGGCAAAGTGGCACAGAGGCCCTTAACTATTGCTGGCAAACGTGTATAGATACTGCAGATATGTCCTTCAAAAGTTAAACTCTTAAATATAAGGCTCACAACATACATTACTTACTTGATGTACAGACACTACCAGGTGTACTGAAATATTACTGTATAAACAATATATAACTTACTTGATGTACAGACACCACCAGGTGTACTGAGGTGTTACTGTATACACAATATATAACTTACTTGATGTACAGACACCACCAGGTGTACTGAAGTGTTACCGTATAAACAATATATAACTTACGTGATGTACAGACACCACCAGGTGTACTGAAGTGTTACTGTATAAACAATATATAACTTACTTAATGTACAGACACCACCAGGTGTACTGAAATATTACCGTATAAACAATATATAACTTACTTGATGTACAGACACCACCAGGTGTACTAAAGCCGTTACTGTCAAAGTAGTTCTCATTACATCTACAGGTGTTTGAAATACAGGAGGCTGTGGTAGTGTCTTCACACACAACAGTAGGAGAACCAGTCCCACAGGCTACAGACAGAGCTGCTTCTGGATACGTCAACAGATTAATAGATATCTTTAAACATTGCATCTATTACCATTCTGGTCATGACAGTTAGTAGTATTTCTTTGATATCTTTTAATTAAAGCACTTACATATGTATTTATTTACATCACTCCTTTACAAATCAATTACACATTAAAAAGATTATTTTCACTACAAGTTTGTCCTTTATCTTAATGATACATGTATTTGATGATGAAGTCTAGTTGTGTGAGGATTCTGCTACTGATCTTATTGTGATTATAAATGATCACTTACTCATTGACACTGTTTGAGAAAAATCAGATTCTACTTCCTGAGAGGCTGTTCGACTCCCGGTCTCGAACGTTTTCACATTAAATGTGTAGGTAGCACCACTGGTAAAGCCCGTAATTGTAGCAAATGTTAATGTTTTATCAAAGGTAGATGAAGAGCCACTAATAGATTGACCAAGTCTCCATATCACCTGGTACCCAGACACCTGATTGATATTTTGTGGTGGGGTCCATGTTACATTAACGACGTCTGTGCCTGGTGTTACTGATACACTAGTCACCTTCAGTGTAGACACTGTAATATAACACACAAGGTCAGTATTATGAAAAGAGATCCTAGAGGGATCTTGATGCCCACCATTCTTTGATCTTCATTGCTTCTTTAAGAGATAATTTCCCTTCTCTTCTTTCCTCTTACATTTTGTTAATGATATGAAATTTGAGAATTCGTCTTAAGAAATAGCAATCATAATCATTTTTAACTACCAAATCAAAGGACTGTCAGCTATTTGGTGATCAGTCTCAAAGCAAAAGGGAATTTATATATGAAATTTTAGTAAGATCCATTATGTACTTCTCCAAATAAGCAACAACAAATTTTCAATGTCAAAATCCAACATCAATCTCAAAATGAAAAGGACATCACTAGGGACTATTACGTGGAAACCTGCATATGAAATGAGGGAATGATCTATCAAGTGTTTCTAACAAGTGATAACAGTATATTGGCCTGTAAATCATTTCATTATTCAGATCACTTCCAAAATAAAATGGGCAAGACTAGGAAACAATTGGAACTTACACAGAGGATATTTACTGGTACCTTAACACCTATCTAATATCTGATGGCAATATTTCAGAAAGTAAAAATAAAATCAAAACGCGCTAAACTTGTTGGATACTAGACTTCTGATAATTGATCATAAGCACACCAGGCGGACTTTGTCGCATGCTAATCTGAATTAAGCTTTTAGAGGGAGATCCTGCTAATTTTCTGCAGAGGTTTGTGACTATGGATGCAATGTGGGTCCATCATTTCATCCCCGAAGCCAAACAACAGTTTAAACAATGATAGCACCCTAGGTCACCTCGCCAAAGAAGGCAAAGGCTGTTCCATCAGCTGAAAAGGTTATGATCTCAGTTTTCTGGGATGGTGATGGTATTGTGATGGTAGATTATCAGCAAATGAGACAAACAATCAATGACACATAATTTGCATCACTTCTTAGGCAATTAAGTGAAAACATTAAACTCAAGCACCATGGAAAACTAAGTAAAGGTATGTTGTTCCACCAGGACAATGCCCTTATTCACAAGTCTGTCATTGCCGTGGCTGCTATCAACAACTGTGACTTTGAATTGATTGAGCATCCGGCTAATTCACCTGATCTTGCTCCATCAAACTTTCATCTTTATCCATAAAAAGGCCATTTCTGGTTCTCACTTTCGGTCAGATGATGACATCATACATGCATTCAAGGACTTTCTGAACGGTCAAGAAAAGGCACAGAGGCCCTTAACTATTGCTGGCAAACGTGTATAGATACTGCAGATATGTCCTTCAAAAGTTAAACTCTTAAATATAAGGCTCACAACATATAAGTCAGTCCTGCATGTACAATACATTACTTACTTGATGTACAGACACCACCAGGTGTACTGAAATATTACTGTATAAACAATATATAACTTACTTGATGTACAGACACCACCAGGTGTACTGAGGTGTTACTGTATACACAATATATAACTTACTTGATGTACAGACACCACCAGGTGTACTGAAGTGTTACCGTATAAACAATATATAACTTACGTGATGTACAGACACCACCAGGTGTACTGAAGTGTTACTGTATAAACAATATATAACTTACTTAATGTACAGACACCACCAGGTGTACTGAAATATTACCGTATAAACAATATATAACTTACTTGATGTACAGACACCACCAGGTGTACTAAAGCCGTTACTGTCAAAGTAGTTCTCATTACATCTACAGGTGTTTGAAATACAGGAGGCTGTGGTAGTGTCTTCACACACAACAGTAGGAGAACCAGTCCCACAGGCTACAGACAGAGCTGCTTCTGGATACGTCAACAGATTAATAGATATCTTTAAACATTGCATCTATTACCATTCTGGTCATGACAGTTAGTAGTATTTCTTTGATATCTTTTAATTAAAGCACTTACATATGTATTTATTTACATCACTCCTTTACAAATCAATTACACATTAAAAAGATTATTTTCACTACAAGTTTGTCCTTTATCTTAATGATACATGTATTTGATGATGAAGTCTAGTTGTGTGAGGATTCTGCTACTGATCTTATTGTGATTATAAATGATCACTTACTCATTGACACTGTTTGAGAAAAATCAGATTCTACTTCCTGAGAGGCTGTTCGACTCCCGGTCTCGAACGTTTTCACATTAAATGTGTAGGTAGCACCACTGGTAAAGCCCGTAATTGTAGCAAATGTTAATGTTTTATCAAAGGTAGATGAAGAGCCACTAATAGATTGACCAAGTCTCCATATCACCTGGTACCCAGACACCTGATTGATATTTTGTGGTGGGGTCCATGTTACATTAACGACGTCTGTGCCTGGTGTTACTGATACACTAGTCACCTTCAGTGTAGACACTGTAATATAACACACAAGGTCAGTATTATGAAAAGAGATCCTAGAGGGATCTTGATGCCCACCATTCTTTGATCTTCATTGCTTCTTTAAGAGATAATTTCCCTTCTCTTCTTTCCTCTTACATTTTGTTAATGATATGAAATTTGAGAATTCGTCTTAAGAAATAGCAATCATAATCATTTTTAACTACCAAATCAAAGGACTGTCAGCTATTTGGTGATCAGTCTCAAAGCAAAAGGGAATTTATATATGAAATTTTAGTAAGATCCATTATGTACTTCTCCAAATAAGCAACAACAAATTTTCAATGTCAAAATCCAACATCAATCTCAAAATGAAAAGGACATCACTAGGGACTATTACGTGGAAACCTGCATATGAAATGAGGGAATGATCTATCAAGTGTTTCTAACAAGTGATAACAGTATATTGGCCTGTAAATCATTTCATTATTCAGATCACTTCCAAAATAAAATGGGCAAGACTAGGAAACAATTGGAACTTACACAGAGGATATTTACTGGTACCTTAACACCTATCTAATATCTGATGGCAATATTTCAGAAAGTAAAAATAAAATCAAAACGCGCTAAACTTGTTGGATACTAGACTTCTGATAATTGATCATAAGCACACCAGGCGGACTTTGTCGCATGCTAATCTGAATTAAGCTTTTAGAGGGAGATCCTGCTAATTTTCTGCAGAGGTTTGTGACTATGGATGCAATGTGGGTCCATCATTTCATCCCCGAAGCCAAACAACAGTTTAAACAATGATAGCACCCTAGGTCACCTCGCCAAAGAAGGCAAAGGCTGTTCCATCAGCTGAAAAGGTTATGATCTCAGTTTTCTGGGATGGTGATGGTATTGTGATGGTAGATTATCAGCAAATGAGACAAACAATCAATGACACATAATTTGCATCACTTCTTAGGCAATTAAGTGAAAACATTAAACTCAAGCACCATGGAAAACTAAGTAAAGGTATGTTGTTCCACCAGGACAATGCCCTTATTCACAAGTCTGTCATTGCCGTGGCTGCTATCAACAACTGTGACTTTGAATTGATTGAGCATCCGGCTAATTCACCTGATCTTGCTCCATCAAACTTTCATCTTTATCCATAAAAAGGCCATTTCTGGTTCTCACTTTCGGTCAGATGATGACATCATACATGCATTCAAGGACTTTCTGAACGGTCAAGAAAAGGCACAGAGGCCCTTAACTATTGCTGGCAAACGTGTATAGATACTGCAGATATGTCCTTCAAAAGTTAAACTCTTAAATATAAGGCTCACAACATACATTACTTACTTGATGTACAGACACTACCAGGTGTACTGAAATATTACTGTATAAACAATATATAACTTACTTGATGTACAGACACCACCAGGTGTACTGAGGTGTTACTGTATACACAATATATAACTTACTTGATGTACAGACACCACCAGGTGTACTGAAGTGTTACCGTATAAACAATATATAACTTACGTGATGTACAGACACCACCAGGTGTACTGAAGTGTTACTGTATAAACAATATATAACTTACTTAATGTACAGACACCACCAGGTGTACTGAAATATTACCGTATAAACAATATATAACTTACTTGATGTACAGACACCACCAGGTGTACTAAAGCCGTTACTGTCAAAGTAGTTCTCATTACATCTACAGGTGTTTGAAATACAGGAGGCTGTGGTAGTGTCTTCACACACAACAGTAGGAGAACCAGTCCCACAGGCTACAGACAGAGCTGCTTCTGGATACGTCAACAGATTAATAGATATCTTTAAACATTGCATCTATTACCATTCTGGTCATGACAGTTAGTAGTATTTCTTTGATATCTTTTAATTAAAGCACTTACATATGTATTTATTTACATCACTCCTTTACAAATCAATTACACATTAAAAAGATTATTTTCACTACAAGTTTGTCCTTTATCTTAATGATACATGTATTTGATGATGAAGTCTAGTTGTGTGAGGATTCTGCTACTGATCTTATTGTGATTATAAATGATCACTTACTCATTGACACTGTTTGAGAAAAATCAGATTCTACTTCCTGAGAGGCTGTTCGACTCCCGGTCTCGAACGTTTTCACATTAAATGTGTAGGTAGCACCACTGGTAAAGCCCGTAATTGTAGCAAATGTTAATGTTTTATCAAAGGTAGATGAAGAGCCACTAATAGATTGACCAAGTCTCCATATCACCTGGTACCCAGACACCTGATTGATATTTTGTGGTGGGGTCCATGTTACATTAACGACGTCTGTGCCTGGTGTTACTGATACACTAGTCACCTTCAGTGTAGACACTGTAATATAACACACAAGGTCAGTATTATGAAAAGAGATCCTAGAGGGATCTTGATGCCCACCATTCTTTGATCTTCATTGCTTCTTTAAGAGATAATTTCCCTTCTCTTCTTTCCTCTTACATTTTGTTAATGATATGAAATTTGAGAATTCGTCTTAAGAAATAGCAATCATAATCATTTTTAACTACCAAATCAAAGGACTGTCAGCTATTTGGTGATCAGTCTCAAAGCAAAAGGGAATTTATATATGAAATTTTAGTAAGATCCATTATGTACTTCTCCAAATAAGCAACAACAAATTTTCAATGTCAAAATCCAACATCAATCTCAAAATGAAAAGGACATCACTAGGGACTATTACGTGGAAACCTGCATATGAAATGAGGGAATGATCTATCAAGTGTTTCTAACAAGTGATAACAGTATATTGGCCTGTAAATCATTTCATTATTCAGATCACTTCCAAAATAAAATGGGCAAGACTAGGAAACAATTGGAACTTACACAGAGGATATTTACTGGTACCTTAACACCTATCTAATATCTGATGGCAATATTTCAGAAAGTAAAAATAAAATCAAAACGCGCTAAACTTGTTGGATACTAGACTTCTGATAATTGATCATAAGCACACCAGGCGGACTTTGTCGCATGCTAATCTGAATTAAGCTTTTAGAGGGAGATCCTGCTAATTTTCTGCAGAGGTTTGTGACTATGGATGCAATGTGGGTCCATCATTTCATCCCCGAAGCCAAACAACAGTTTAAACAATGATAGCACCCTAGGTCACCTCGCCAAAGAAGGCAAAGGCTGTTCCATCAGCTGAAAAGGTTATGATCTCAGTTTTCTGGGATGGTGATGGTATTGTGATGGTAGATTATCAGCAAATGAGACAAACAATCAATGACACATAATTTGCATCACTTCTTAGGCAATTAAGTGAAAACATTAAACTCAAGCACCATGGAAAACTAAGTAAAGGTATGTTGTTCCACCAGGACAATGCCCTTATTCACAAGTCTGTCATTGCCGTGGCTGCTATCAACAACTGTGACTTTGAATTGATTGAGCATCCGGCTAATTCACCTGATCTTGCTCCATCAAACTTTCATCTTTATCCATAAAAAGGCCATTTCTGGTTCTCACTTTCGGTCAGATGATGACATCATACATGCATTCAAGGACTTTCTGAACGGTCAAGAAAAGGCACAGAGGCCCTTAACTATTGCTGGCAAACGTGTATAGATACTGCAGATATGTCCTTCAAAAGTTAAACTCTTAAATATAAGGCTCACAACATATAAGTCAGTCCTGCATGTACAATACATTACTTACTTGATGTACAGACACTACCAGGTGTACTGAAATATTACTGTATAAACAATATATAACTTACTTGATGTACAGACACCACCAGGTGTACTGAGGTGTTACTGTATACACAATATATAACTTACTTGATGTACAGACACCACCAGGTGTACTGAAGTGTTACCGTATAAACAATATATAACTTACTTGATGTACAGACACCACCAGGTGTACTGAAGTGTTACTGTATAAACAATATATAACTTACTTAATGTACAGACACCACCAGGTGTACTGAAATATTACCGTATAAACAATATATAACTTACTTGATGTACAGACACCACCAGGTGTACTAAAGCCGTTACTGTCAAAGTAGTTCTCATTACATCTACAGGTGTTTGAAATACAGGAGGCTGTGGTAGTGTCTTCACACACAACAGTAGGAGAACCAGTCCCACAGGCTACAGACAGAGCTGCTTCTGGATACGTCAACAGATTAATAGATATCTTTAAACATTGCATCTATTACCATTCTGGCCATGACAGTTAGTAGTATTTCTTTGATATCTTTTAATTAAAGCACTTACATATGTATTTATTTACATCACTCCTTTACAAATCAATTACACATTAAAAAGATTATTTTCACTACAAGTTTGTCCTTTATCTTAATGATACATGTATTTGATGATGAAGTCTAGTTGTGTGAGGATTCTGCTACTGATCTTATTGTGATTATAAATGATCACTTACTCATTGACACTGTTTGAGAAAAATCAGATTCTACTTCCTGAGAGGCTGTTCGACTCCCGGTCTCGAACGTTTTCACATTAAATGTGTAGGTAGCACCACTGGTAAAGCCCGTAATTGTAGCAAATGTTAATGTTTTATCAAAGGTAGATGAAGAGCCACTAATAGATTGACCAAGTCTCCATATCACCTGGTACCCAGACACCTGATTGATATTTTGTGGTGGGGTCCATGTTACATTAACGACGTCTGTGCCTGGTGTTACTGATACACTAGTCACCTTCAGTGTAGACACTGTAATATAACACACAAGGTCAGTATTATGAAAAGAGATCCTAGAGGGATCTTGATGCCCACCATTCTTTGATCTTCATTGCTTCTTTAAGAGATAATTTCCCTTCTCTTCTTTCCTCTTACATTTTGTTAATGATATGAAATTTGAGAATTCGTCTTAAGAAATAGCAATCATAATCATTTTTAACTACCAAATCAAAGGACTGTCAGCTATTTGGTGATCAGTCTCAAAGCAAAAGGGAATTTATATATGAAATTTTAGTAAGATCCATTATGTACTTCTCCAAATAAGCAACAACAAATTTTCAATGTCAAAATCCAACATCAATCTCAAAATGAAAAGGACATCACTAGGGACTATTACGTGGAAACCTGCATATGAAATGAGGGAATGATCTATCAAGTGTTTCTAACAAGTGATAACAGTATATTGGCCTGTAAATCATTTCATTATTCAGATCACTTCCAAAATAAAATGGGCAAGACTAGGAAACAATTGGAACTTACACAGAGGATATTTACTGGTACCTTAACACCTATCTAATATCTGATGGCAATATTTCAGAAAGTAAAAATAAAATCAAAACGCGCTAAACTTGTTGGATACTAGACTTCTGATAATTGATCATAAGCACACCAGGCGGACTTTGTCGCATGCTAATCTGAATTAAGCTTTTAGAGGGAGATCCTGCTAATTTTCTGCAGAGGTTTGTGACTATGGATGCAATGTGGGTCCATCATTTCATCCCCGAAGCCAAACAACAGTTTAAACAATGATAGCACCCTAGGTCACCTCGCCAAAGAAGGCAAAGGCTGTTCCATCAGCTGAAAAGGTTATGATCTCAGTTTTCTGGGATGGTGATGGTATTGTGATGGTAGATTATCAGCAAATGAGACAAACAATCAATGACACATAATTTGCATCACTTCTTAGGCAATTAAGTGAAAACATTAAACTCAAGCACCATGGAAAACTAAGTAAAGGTATGTTGTTCCACCAGGACAATGCCCTTATTCACAAGTCTGTCATTGCCGTGGCTGCTATCAACAACTGTGACTTTGAATTGATTGAGCATCCGGCTAATTCACCTGATCTTGCTCCATCAAACTTTCATCTTTATCCATAAAAAGGCCATTTCTGGTTCTCACTTTCGGTCAGATGATGACATCATACATGCATTCAAGGACTTTCTGAACGGTCAAGAAAAGGCACAGAGGCCCTTAACTATTGCTGGCAAACGTGTATAGATACTGCAGATATGTCCTTCAAAAGTTAAACTCTTAAATATAAGGCTCACAACATATAAGTCAGTCCTGCATGTACAATACATTACTTACTTGATGTACAGACACTACCAGGTGTACTGAAATATTACTGTATAAACAATATATAACTTACTTGATGTACAGACACCACCAGGTGTACTGAGGTGTTACTGTATACACAATATATCGATCAATTTCAAAATTGATGGTATTTTAGTAGTAATACACTTACTTGATGTACAGACACCACCAGGTGTACTGAAGTGTTACCGTATAAACAATATATAACTTACTTGATGTACAGACACCACCAGGTGTACTGAAGTGTTACTGTATAAACAATATATAACTTACTTAATGTACAGACACCACCAGGTGTACTGAAATATTACCGTATAAACAATATATAACTTACTTGATGTACAGACACCACCAGGTGTACTAAAGCCGTTACTGTCAAAGTAGTTCTCATTACATCTACAGGTGTTTGAAATACAGGAGGCTGTGGTAGTGTCTTCACACACAACAGTAGGAGAACCAGTCCCACAGGCTACAGACAGAGCTGCTTCTGGATACGTCAACAGATTAATAGATATCTTTAAACATTGCATCTATTACCATTCTGGCCATGACAGTTAGTAGTATTTCTTTGATATCTTTTAATTAAAGCACTTACATATGTATTTATTTACATCACTCCTTTACAAATCAATTACACATTAAAAAGATTATTTTCACTACAAGTTTGTCCTTTATCTTAATGATACATGTATTTGATGATGAAGTCTAGTTGTGTGAGGATTCTGCTACTGATCTTATTGTGATTATAAATGATCACTTACTCATTGACACTGTTTGAGAAAAATCAGATTCTACTTCCTGAGAGGCTGTTCGACTCCCGGTCTCGAACGTTTTCACATTAAATGTGTAGGTAGCACCACTGGTAAAGCCCGTAATTGTAGCAAATGTTAATGTTTTATCAAAGGTAGATGAAGAGCCACTAATAGATTGACCAAGTCTCCATATCACCTGGTACCCAGACACCTGATTGATATTTTGTGGTGGGGTCCATGTTACATTAACGACGTCTGTGCCTGGTGTTACTGATACACTAGTCACCTTCAGTGTAGACACTGTAATATAACACACAAGGTCAGTATTATGAAAAGAGATCCTAGAGGGATCTTGATGCCCACCATTCTTTGATCTTCATTGCTTCTTTAAGAGATAATTTCCCTTCTCTTCTTTCCTCTTACATTTTGTTAATGATATGAAATTTGAGAATTCGTCTTAAGAAATAGCAATCATAATCATTTTTAACTACCAAATCAAAGGACTGTCAGCTATTTGGTGATCAGTCTCAAAGCAAAAGGGAATTTATATATGAAATTTTAGTAAGATCCATTATGTACTTCTCCAAATAAGCAACAACAAATTTTCAATGTCAAAATCCAACATCAATCTCAAAATGAAAAGGACATCACTAGGGACTATTACGTGGAAACCTGCATATGAAATGAGGGAATGATCTATCAAGTGTTTCTAACAAGTGATAACAGTATATTGGCCTGTAAATCATTTCATTATTCAGATCACTTCCAAAATAAAATGGGCAAGACTAGGAAACAATTGGAACTTACACAGAGGATATTTACTGGTACCTTAACACCTATCTAATATCTGATGGCAATATTTCAGAAAGTAAAAATAAAATCAAAACGCGCTAAACTTGTTGGATACTAGACTTCTGATAATTGATCATAAGCACACCAGGCGGACTTTGTCGCATGCTAATCTGAATTAAGCTTTTAGAGGGAGATCCTGCTAATTTTCTGCAGAGGTTTGTGACTATGGATGCAATGTGGGTCCATCATTTCATCCCCGAAGCCAAACAACAGTTTAAACAATGATAGCACCCTAGGTCACCTCGCCAAAGAAGGCAAAGGCTGTTCCATCAGCTGAAAAGGTTATGATCTCAGTTTTCTGGGATGGTGATGGTATTGTGATGGTAGATTATCAGCAAATGAGACAAACAATCAATGACACATAATTTGCATCACTTCTTAGGCAATTAAGTGAAAACATTAAACTCAAGCACCATGGAAAACTAAGTAAAGGTATGTTGTTCCACCAGGACAATGCCCTTATTCACAAGTCTGTCATTGCCGTGGCTGCTATCAACAACTGTGACTTTGAATTGATTGAGCATCCGGCTAATTCACCTGATCTTGCTCCATCAAACTTTCATCTTTATCCATAAAAAGGCCATTTCTGGTTCTCACTTTCGGTCAGATGATGACATCATACATGCATTCAAGGACTTTCTGAACGGTCAAGAAAAGGCACAGAGGCCCTTAACTATTGCTGGCAAACGTGTATAGATACTGCAGATATGTCCTTCAAAAGTTAAACTCTTAAATATAAGGCTCACAACATATAAGTCAGTCCTGCATGTACAATACATTACTTACTTGATGTACAGACACTACCAGGTGTACTGAAATATTACTGTATAAACAATATATAACTTACTTGATGTACAGACACCACCAGGTGTACTGAGGTGTTACTGTATACACAATATATAACTTACTTGATGTACAGACACCACCAGGTGTACTGAAGTGTTACCGTATAAACAATATATAACTTACTTGATGTACAGACACCACCAGGTGTACTGAAGTGTTACTGTATAAACAATATATAACTTACTTAATGTACAGACACCACCAGGTGTACTGAAATATTACCGTATAAACAATATATAACTTACTTGATGTACAGACACCACCAGGTGTACTAAAGCCGTTACTGTCAAAGTAGTTCTCATTACATCTACAGGTGTTTGAAATACAGGAGGCTGTGGTAGTGTCTTCACACACAACAGTAGGAGAACCAGTCCCACAGGCTACAGACAGAGCTGCTTCTGGATACGTCAACAGATTAATAGATATCTTTAAACATTGCATCTATTACCATTCTGGCCATGACAGTTAGTAGTATTTCTTTGATATCTTTTAATTAAAGCACTTACATATGTATTTATTTACATCACTCCTTTACAAATCAATTACACATTAAAAAGATTATTTTCACTACAAGTTTGTCCTTTATCTTAATGATACATGTATTTGATGATGAAGTCTAGTTGTGTGAGGATTCTGCTACTGATCTTATTGTGATTATAAATGATCACTTACTCATTGACACTGTTTGAGAAAAATCAGATTCTACTTCCTGAGAGGCTGTTCGACTCCCGGTCTCGAACGTTTTCACATTAAATGTGTAGGTAGCACCACTGGTAAAGCCCGTAATTGTAGCAAATGTTAATGTTTTATCAAAGGTAGATGAAGAGCCACTAATAGATTGACCAAGTCTCCATATCACCTGGTACCCAGACACCTGATTGATATTTTGTGGTGGGGTCCATGTTACATTAACGACGTCTGTGCCTGGTGTTACTGATACACTAGTCACCTTCAGTGTAGACACTGTAATATAACACACAAGGTCAGTATTATGAAAAGAGATCCTAGAGGGATCTTGATGCCCACCATTCTTTGATCTTCATTGCTTCTTTAAGAGATAATTTCCCTTCTCTTCTTTCCTCTTACATTTTGTTAATGATATGAAATTTGAGAATTCGTCTTAAGAAATAGCAATCATAATCATTTTTAACTACCAAATCAAAGGACTGTCAGCTATTTGGTGATCAGTCTCAAAGCAAAAGGGAATTTATATATGAAATTTTAGTAAGATCCATTATGTACTTCTCCAAATAAGCAACAACAAATTTTCAATGTCAAAATCCAACATCAATCTCAAAATGAAAAGGACATCACTAGGGACTATTACGTGGAAACCTGCATATGAAATGAGGGAATGATCTATCAAGTGTTTCTAACAAGTGATAACAGTATATTGGCCTGTAAATCATTTCATTATTCAGATCACTTCCAAAATAAAATGGGCAAGACTAGGAAACAATTGGAACTTACACAGAGGATATTTACTGGTACCTTAACACCTATCTAATATCTGATGGCAATATTTCAGAAAGTAAAAATAAAATCAAAACACAAATGATCAAACAATGTTAACTTGTATAAGATGACTTACTGGATAGACAAGAACTGCTGGCTGTAAATCCATTATTGTTGTAATATCCTGCTTTACACCTACAGTAATTATCATCAGTACACTCAGCATTGGTATCGGAACATTGGGACACACCAATCAGGGCACTGTCACAGACAACACTTATTGCAAGCTCTGAAAAAATACATATTTAATCACGTCAACATCTTGATCATTGAAATGGATGGTGCATTAATTCACTTCACCAAAACCCACTGAGTGACAGCTAGCTATTCAGGCTTAATCTTACATTCCCTTCAACCACCTAACACTTCAATGTCAACTGCATTCAAATATGATGTAGATACATTCTAGATAAGTTCCCAATTAATATCGTGACATCGTTTTTTAACTCAGTGTTGACTCACACTGAATTTTTGCACAAGCTTCACATGTTGGTTCTGACTGTAAACATATCATACCATTGCAATAATTATAGATAATCTACCAGATCTTTGAGTAACTATAAACATACAAGAAATAGAAGAAATATAATCTTTGTTTATGTCTGGTCAAGCAGATAAAGATATTTCAAATGTAATCAGTAGTGCAAATAATAAGGAGGTTGAATTTAAGAACAAGAGATCCCAGAGGGATCTTGGCGCCCACCATTTGAGGATCTGTTTTCAGTTCTTGAAGATTTGTTTATTTTTGTTTGTTTGTTACAGGTGTTGTAAATGTTCATGAACTGGTCTTCATTGAATGTACTCAATGATGGCACAAGATATTTTTATTAAGCACCTATTAGCAAATATCATTTGAAAAAGATCCCAAAGTATTATTAGTTAGCAGTCAGTTACAGGTGGATAATGGACATGGTCTTGAATCAATATGATAGAATATCGAAGAAAATATGCTTGTGTGAAATAAGCATTGCATTTTTAATAAATCAATTCTTCTGTTACTTCTCATGTGTCAACCCATATGCCATTAACTCAATTCACAGCATGGTTTAGTATACATACCCTAAACAGTGTATTTATCAATGTTTACTTAATTTAGAAAATCTGAAACTTGAGAATGACTGATCATGTAGGTAAGAAATAGCCATAAAACAATTACTCGCTGTTCAAATCCAAGATGGAGAGCTATAGGCCATTTTGTTTTTTTCAGATTATTTTAGATATGGGACAATGCTTAACTAGGTACCAAGAGGAAGCTAAATATGAAATTTGAGAAGGATCCTGTCACAGCGATAACAAACTACTGTATTACTGTTGACATCCAAGTATTATTAGATAGCAGTCAGTTACAGGTGGATAATAGACAATATGCTTGTGCTGTATTACTGTCGACATCCAAGATGGCTGCCTGTGGGCAACCTTGATTTCAAATCAGTCCAAAAAAGGTACAATGCACAACTAGGGACCAAGGGAAACCAATATCTATGAAATATCAGAAGGATCCATCCAGTACTTCCTCAGATATAGCAGTAACAAGATTTTACTCTCAAAATCCAAGATGGCTGCCTGTCGCCCATCTTGATTTCGAATCAGTCCAAAAAAGGTACAATGCACAACTAGGGACCAAGGGGAACCTGCATATGAAATTTGAGAAAGATCCATCCAGTACTTTTCCAGAAATAGCGGTAACAAGAATTGTTTATGGACGGACGAACGGATGGACGACGGACCACGGACGCAGGGCGATTTGAATAACATATGGATCGAAGCATGAATCTTCAAAATTACAAAGTTCTGAAAATAAGTCAGTTAAAATCATGAATGATGTAAATATATTAGAAAACTGGTATTTATTTTTGTTGGTGAGCTTTCCATCTACAGCAGCACTGACATGTTAGGGAGTCAGAATGGTGTAGTGTGTAATGGCTGTTTGCAAAACTCATACAAACATATCAAGCACACTATTAGTTAAATTTTTAAAATGACAAATTCCTCAGATTATTATTTACTTCAAGACTCATCAACCTGAGGTACAATTTACGTATTTTGAATTAAGGTATTTCTCAATAATTCAATATCTTATATATTACACTACAATGTTATACATTGTATAGTTGTGATAGTGTGAATGGCAAAATATGTTTCTGATACAGAACAAAAAAAAATACATTTCAGATGATCGATCAATTTCAAAATTGATGGTATTTTAGTAGTAATACAATTCATTATTGGGTTTATCACCCTGTCAACAGTCAGGGTCATTTTGAGACACTGTCTCCTTGTAGTTGCTTGCTACCCCACTGAAAAACATACAGGAGGCCCATAGCATGCTGTCCACATCAATAAGGGTAAAGAGTCTTTCCCAAGAACACCACCACGTCATCACAGACTGGTTCATTATCAGCTTCCTTGAAATACAAAACACCATCGGAAGGGAGCATTAAACCATACACCATGGATCTTCATCTGAGATTAACTTGGTTCTAACCAACTGAGCTATCATGGCCACAAATATGTAAATGTATGTAGTATAACAGGTTATATTGGATACAGGCAATGTCAGATCAAGGGCATGCCTTTGTGATCTACAGGGAAATTAATCAAATTGTAACTCTACTATGTCCTCAGAACCAGGAAAAACAGCTGGTCATACAATCATGTTTACATGCAAAGTCTTGGTTATTGAGAAGATGCAATTTCAAGGTTTTAACAAAATTGAGCCCTGTCACTTTGAGTATAGGTTGACATTAAGGTAATTTCTTTTCACAAACTTTATCTTAGGAACCTGACAGCTAAAATATGATTTTAGGTCTTTCGATTAATCAGAGGATTATGTCACTTGATGGTTTAAACAATTTTGACACCTGTGACATTGAATGTGTATTTAGGCATTTTCTTTACACAGACTAAGTCAGGTTTCCCAGGAATGTACCAACCAGATATCAGATTCTAAGCATTTTGTTTTAATGGGAAGATGTGATTTAAAAGTCTTGACAAGTTTGACCCTTGTGACAGTAAATATGGAATTTTGAATTAAATATCTTGATTCTAGACCAAATGGTTATTGATAAGTGGTAGATAGACGGTTTAAACAAAATTGACAACTTTAACTTTCATTACAGGTCAAAGTCATTTCTTTTGGAAATTTTTATTGAGCTTCGTCCAAAGAACCATGATGTCAATGGATGGACGTTATAGTTACACAACCAAGTGAGCTAAACATACTGATAGCATAATGCCTACTTTCAAAATCCAAGATTGTTCGTGTTGGGCTTTTTTTTTTTCAAAAATAAACCATGCACAACTAAAGCAATAAAGAGAATTAAGTCTCCAGGTACAGTTATAAACTTCGAAAAAAAGTCACCTAACATTTTTATTTATAGTAACAGTGACCTTGACTTTACTTTTTTGACCCGACAAATGACCACTCCTGAAAAGAAAACAGAGCTTCAGCTGATGAAAGCTTAGCAAAAAATTTCCAGGACAAAACAATTTTTTATCCTTTTCCATCAGGAAGAGAACACTTTTAAACATATCAAGAGTAGATCACAAATGGATCATCATCAGGAAGTTCTGGATTTTAATGGGTAAATATACCAAAGAAACTTATTTTTAATTTATTGTAACAGTAATATTGACCTCTCACATTTTGACCCAAAAACCAATACAAAGCGAGCACAACTCATAACAGAGCAGTGTTGTCAAGTTTCAGTTTGATTGGTCGTCTTGAATTTGCGTTATTGTTCAGCGATGGTGATTGGGACCATTCAACCTTCAGGACACCACCATTTAGAGCAATTCAAAGCAAGCAATCCTGAAAAGAAAGTAGTTTATGATGATTCAGTTTGATCAGTCCAAAAAGGAACCACCAGTAATTGTTCAGAAATCGTGACGCAGACTGACAAATATACCCGTCCAGTCATTGACTGTTTGGATCACAAATGAATTGTCATGAGGACGGCTTAGCTTTCATCCTAAAATTCTATGAGATTAATAACTTACTTTGCACACAGACACCAGAACTTCCACTGCCATCATTGTCATAGTAACCAGTGTTACAGGTACACTTATTATTGGTACAGACAGAGTTTTCCCGACATGCATCAGTAGGTAAACCAGCACAATTACCATTGGCTACAACCTCTGGTTAAACAGAACAGGTACAATGTACATCACAGTAAACATAATCTCTATATCATAATTACATCAGATATAAATACGAAAGCAGTAACAAAGAGATTTAATCACCGGGAATAAGCTATGTGCACCAATCTTTGGATCTTATCCACAGTTATTTGACATTAAACAAGGTCAACAGTTATTGCTTACACAAAAAGGGGAAACAAATCCTCTTCAAAAGTTACCACAACATTCTTTTACTTTTCCAATCAGCAAAATAATTCCTCTTTTCAAATGAAACATATCAAAATTACAGTGTAGAAATGAAGTGTGAGCTCCTCACAATTTATTGTGGATTAAAATTTTCACAAGTAATATTTTAGTAAAGCTTTTGTCAGTAAAAAACAGTATGTTATGTCCATGATATTTTTTCAATCATGTTTGTTATAACTGTATACTACTATTTTACACTAGTTATATATCACCTATGTTAGGTTAGTACTAATTAGAATAATCTTCTCAAGTTAAACTGTGACTTACGAACTAACACATCTTATGATTATGAGGGCCAATGATTATATCGGCCAGCCCTATTAATGAAGTTAGAGAAAACATTATGTCCTATCTATAAAGAATCCTGCCACACAAACACTGGTAGAACTTTGCTGATTACTAGCAAGTAGATACAGAATATATTTACAGGGTAATGGATCACTTACATATGTGAATCATATACTGCCTTATGGAGAAACATATCAAAACTATTTTGTTCCTGTCAAAACTGATAATGTTCTATGGACTTCTGCAAATCCATCAGGCTCCATATTCCTTAATATGATGCATCTCATGACAGATGACATGTGCAGGAGGAGAGGAAAGAATATCCCTGTTATATCTCAGTGCATAACCTGTGACTACCTGGCCCTGATGATAGGGGATGGTTTGTCTTATGTTTTCTGTTGAGATACAATAGAGAATCATAGCTAATGTAGCTTACTGTACTCCACTGCATGATCATAGAAAGTGATTGAGACTGGTTCCTGGGCCTGCAGAATTAACATCTTTTATATTTCTTCTATGAATTCTACTAAGGAAACGTTGGAGACACCAGAATAGATTTGCTGCCCCCATTTCAACACTTTGGATCTTCCAGGTTTTCAAATTCCTTTTTAACAAACATAATATTATCTCCCATTGAATATGAACAGAATGGATGAATTGATTACATTATGACATCACAAACAAATCAATGACTCAAATGTGGAAAGGTCAAATAAACAAATTGATATCTTTCTCTTTTACTTTAAAATACCTTGAGGTCAATATAATTACTCTTGGCTACCTTTTAGTGTATTTGATAGTCCTTTTAATACGCCAGTGGCAACTAAGCTCTAACAGAAATGGGACATTTTCAGTAAAACGTGTCATTTTAAAGAACATTCATAATAATGATTTTTTACAATCCAAAATGTAATTAGTCTTCACAAGTTGTCTTCCAATTTAGAATTGGTCCAGACACAATATTATAATGATATCTATGTAAGATCATGTTAATAATAACTCAAGCTTCCTTAATAAACTACTCCATCTTAGCAACAATTGTCTCAAAGCCTTTCACAAATTATCATCTGTGGGTAGTAGGTTTTTTGCTACAAGAAATAACCTTTCTCAACCCTCTGGGAAGCACACAGTAAGAGTTGCCATTCCATGCTTACAACTAGCATACCATATTTCTAGTACTGCCCATTAATCTCTATTCTCCATCAGAAAAAACAAAGCATGAATTATCTAACACAGTGTTCATTCTCTGGAGTCAAACGAGCAATCCTTCAATCACCAGTCCAATGTCCTACCACTTGACCACCATGCCTCCATAGACAACAGTCAAGTGTTGTGTTAAAGGTTTAAATACTCAATACATTTCTTTGATATTAGTTGAAGCATTTTTATAATCTCATAGGAAGCACCCTCCCTCGGTGTTAGTGCAGCTGTACTACACACTTACTTGCCACACAGGTGTCACCACCATCATAATAGTTGGCAATACAGGTACATGTACCACTATTACAGGTAGACATGTCTGTACACTCATTGGGTATAACACCAGTACAACCTGTCTCTCCAGCCTTGATTCCTAATATGAATAATATCAATAGATTAAATACTTTATGATTTGTACATCATATCACCAAGGATATAAACTGTAGAACAGTTCTGCCCTACATCACCAATATCTCCTCTCACAAGTCTAAAGGGGTTCACATCAAGCAGATCAAATGGACATTAATCACAAACCTGATATCAAAATAAAGATGTTTGTAAACATATTTCATCTAACAAGCTATTAATGTGGATGTTGCCAATTTTCATGACTTCCAAAATTAGTCTAGTCATCACATTTAACCATGTCTTACTTATCATTACATTAATCTGTCTGATCTTAATGACCTTTATTATTCATTCATTTTGCCACTTTACTCAATTAGAAAATGACTATAGAACATAAATGTCCTCCCTTCTATGCCAAATAGAATCTCATTAGGTGTAAAATTTGATGTAATGACACTATGAGGTAAATAAAAACCAAATCGGTTGAGAGATTATAAATATATGACATTCATTTGAAAGCAATGCCTTGTATGGGACATGACAAACAAACACAGCTAACACTATAATAATGCCCTCACATCGAATAGAAAGAGCTTAAAACAAAATTATCGGTGAATCTGATAAATGCTTCCCAAAATCAATTTAATTGGAAACAAAATGTTATCAATGGGCAATAATTCTGTAATTAAGGGGTTGGTGCCCTGACTTTGGTACCCTGCACATCTCGCCTGTTTGATAAATGAATACACCAAGTTTAATCATACCAATTTTAAACGCAAGTAAAGTTATACTCGGGACAAAACAATTGAACAAAGGAAGTTTACTTTGTATTTAAAGGATTACAGACCCTGATCGGTATACTGCACATTGTATTGCATGACCAATGTTTATGCATCCACAGTTATGCTCTGAACATAAAATTTTAACAAAGGGCATTACCTAAATAATTTAGTGGTGTTGGACCCTTCGATCACCAGTCCAATGTCCTACCACTTGACCACCATGCCTCCATAGACAGCAGTCAAGTGTTGTGTTAAAGGTTTAAATACTCAATACATTTCTTTGATATTAGTTGAAGCATTTTTATAATCTCATAGGAAGCACCCTCCCTCGGTGTTAGTGCAGCTGTACTACACACTTACTTGCTACACAGGTGTCACCACTATCATAATAGTTGGCAATACAGGTACATGTACCACTATTACAGGTAGACATGTCTGTACACTCATTGGTTATACCAATACAGTCTGTCTCTCCAGCCTTGATTCCTGGAAAAAGAAATACAAGAATTAGTGAAGAATAAAGGAAATCATATTTAAAAAGCAAGATGTATAGAGGGTGTATTTGCTTGTATGGTTTAGTTTGCTGAAATTGCTTCTTTAAAAAATAAGTATTTGAAATATTTGTGTCTTTTTCCCCTAGAAGGCCTTTCCACTCTTCCACAAGGGGGTTTAGATGCAATGTTTATAAAAAAGAAAGTTCCCTTCATCCAAAGATGCTTTAGATCAGAGGACCTGTTTCACAGTACATGTAATATTGCCCACATCCTGATTCAATTTTTACTGTGTGTTATTTGCATTATCCCAGTAAGCTCCTAAGAATGTATGTTCAAAAAGCCAAAATTCACCTATGGCCTGTAATTTGACTTATTTTATGATCCATGTCATGTGTGTAAGCCAGGGTGCACATCTTACTCTAAAACTTGTTCAAAAAGCTATAATAAACCACTAAATTGGTTCAAATCCTCTTGATTCAAGTCTACTGCATGTTTGGAACTCAAATGTAAAGCCAAATAATACCAATATAAAAAAGTTATGGAAGTTTAACTGGGAAAGAATCATAATTTTTCATAAAAATTTCAACAAATTCAAGTTTTTGGAAAACTGTTTGACTACCTTAACATTATTGTTCACCTAAAATATTTATACCTTCTTTGGCCAAATATATGTACCTAAAATATTGAAAATTTCATGAAATTCTTGGACCAGTAAATTCCAAGGACAGATTTTCTTGTGATGGCAGAAACAGTAAACTACTCTTATTTCTGACATTTTATTCAGAATGTTATTTTTTATCCAAATATATGTTTATTTTAATTTCATTCATTTTTACTATGTGCCTTTAAATGAAAATGATATCAAATCACATTTTGCCTCATGGGATTATAAACAGAAAAGACTCACATGGTATGTACTTCTTCTTGTTTATTAAAATATGAAATATATATCAAAGTGGCATTCTGTGCATTATTAATGAATCAATAAGGAGGCAGTATATCTACTTGAATAACAACATTCAAGCTGAAGCTGAGGTAAGCAGCTGAAGGCCATGAACTGGTGAAATTTTCCACCAGGTACACATTTTATCGTATTGTGTACCTGGTATAGGACGACACTCAGCGTAATAATGATTCTAAGGTTTCATGCATTCATTTGAGGAGACTGAGGATTCATTTGAGGAGACTGAGGATAAATGACAATGAAACAAACCCTACACTTCTACCTCTTCCTCATATAAGATTTGAAGCATGCTTCCTCATCACATTGGAAGTGTTCATTATGTTTAGAGTATAATGATGACTGTAAAATTATTCCTTAGTCTTTTTGTCACTCTCTTAACCATAAATATTCACTTCGGTGTCCTCCTGATGCTTGTGTACATTCTGAACATCTCATAGGAAGCATCCTACATTCTGATACAAAAATCAGTAAACAAGTATGCTAAGTAAATCAAGTGGATTAATTTCCTCAGTTGTGATCAATGATTTGCTTGAAATTGTACATCAAGTAACCAAACATGAGAATTCCCCAGAATTAAGATTTACAATGGACTGGCTTGACCTTTGGTCAATTTAAGGACATGTATGGCATGTGTGAATCGGACCTTGTTTTCAGCTTCAAGTGCAAGTGCAATAGACCTGTTTATGTATGTTGGGGTAAAACTTAAAACTAATCTGTCATGGAACCAAATGACCATGCTTACTAACCTCTCCATAGCCACACTGTTAAGATTTTTTCACAAAATTGTTGATATATTGAACACTTTAGTTGTCCCCAGATACCTTGGTACAGCCCATATATCACACCAAGTCACACACAATACTGTATGTACCAAAGTATTTTATGGTGATCAGGTCATTCTTATCTTAGATGGTACCTATATCTACCTCAACAAAAGCAAAGACCACCAGTTCCAAGGGGCATCTTATGGAGGGTGTACAAAATATGGACAATACTCTTTCATTCCCGAAGAACAATACAGATTTTAAAGAAATTCATAGATTGTCCCTGTTGGGATCTACCCATCTGGCCCCAAGGCGCCGAGACTCACCATTTATACAAAATTACTTTCCCTACATCCAAACATGCTTCAAACAAATATTGACAATATCCTGTCATTCCCAAAGAACAAAACAGATTTTAAAGAATTTCATAGACTTCCCTTATTTGGCCCCGCCCATTTGGCCCCAAGAGACTGACACCCATTGTTTTACTGAACTGATTTTCCATTACCCAAACATGTTTTGGAGAAAAATTTGGACAATATCTTGTAATTCCTAAAGAACAAGATAGATTTTAAACAAGTCATTTAAAGATATTAATAAAAAATTTACCCTTCTGACCTTGAATATCGGTTAAAGAAATTTCTTTTTGCAACCTCTGTTTCGCTTCATTCTAGGAGCCAACAGTACCAGCTAAATATCCTTCTATGCTTTTTGGTTAATAAAAAGGAGTTGTTTTAATGTTTTTTTCTTTTGTCCTTATCTTGGCCCTTAGCCAGGTGAGCTAGAAAGTTGTAAAACTTCCCCTTTCTGGCCCTGTTCCTTAGGTCCTGGGGGCTAAGAAACAATATTTTAATTCTCTTTACCCAAGAATGCTTCAGACCAAATTTGAGCAATATCCAATCATTCCTACAGGAGGAGAAGGATTTAAAGTAATTTTCTCTATTTTCCTTATTGGGCCTCACCCCTCCTGTTCCAGCTAAAAAAAACCATCGTCTGAACAAAGTTTATTCATTTGGCTTCAGACCAAATTTGGGTAAAATCCAATCATTCTTTCTGGAATTTTTCAAATTTTTCCTTCAAACAATGCACCTAATTTCACAAATAAGTCATGTTTTTATTTATAACAAGAGTAAACAACATTAACACCAAAAGATTTAAAATAGGAGGCACATCAGCTTTAACGGTCATTTGAATACATCAGACTTGTAAATTATATAACAGCAGTAGAAGTATTACTAGTGGGAATAATTATTAAATAGTTAAAACAGCATGGAATATTTTGAAAGAAAATCATTTCATTTTGTCAAGATTTCCACAAAATTTCAGCTCAATGGCATCCATGATGAAACTAGAAATGTTTAAAATGCTTTTATTCAAGATGGCATATATGGCAACCATATTGGATTTCAGACCGACGTGAAAAAAAATAAAAGCAACACTTGCTTAAAATTCCATGATGTTTAAGCTTAATCTCGCTGGTGAAATTTAAGAAGTTTAAAACATGAAAAGTTTACACCTGGCACAAGACAAGTTAACAAAACATGATGGATAAACCCAAAACAACATGGTATCCTGAAGATGTAAGCTTAAAGGGTCCTCACCTTCTGATCAAAACTTGCACATCCTAGTAATACCGCATTACTTTTTTACAAAATATATCATGTTTTAAATGGTCAGCCCCCCCCCCTCGATGGTTCCATTTCTAACTGGATTTTTTTTTCATGTCAAAAAGATGTGGCAATTAATCTAACTATATGTTCTCATTTCCTATTGTTATTTGTACATTTATTAACAATTCTTTTTTTCTCAAAAAATTGTACCAGTTATTCTACATGCATTAAACACTAAGAAATAGGAATTATTTTGTATGGCATGTCTTTTGAAGAAATTGGTTAATACCTACACCGAGTAGAATATTACCTGTGCATAACACACGGCTAATTACAGTGTTCACACAATACTTGGTCTCTAATGGTTAATTACCAGTTTAATTATTCAATTAAATATCGGCTTCTTAATAAGTGTCAACATCATGTTGTAGTGACTTATATGTTAAACAAGTAGCACATTTACACAAGACATGAAAAGTTGACTTGTTTGTGTGCTTCTTTTGGAACAATGAAGACGAAACCGGCAAACCAATGCGAAATTTGATCCCAACAATTCCGAAAGAAACTATTATATGTGCTTGGACAATGCAGTGCTGAAAGTATAATAATAGATTAAACTATGCAGTTTCTTCCACTGTGTACTGTGCTATGATAAACCTACTTCATTCAACCGTACATAATCAATGTCAGGAAACTGATGTCGTTTACCTTATTTATGTGTCAGTTGAAATTCGGACGAGTCAAAATATTTTCCGCAGTTCCTTGCATTTTGAGATAATTTTGAGAGTTTCGACTCTATCTTCATGCACATTTATAACAGTATTCAATGAAGTTGGTGTTTATCATTTCTTCCATATTTGTCAGGTCCAGGGCATTTTGCTATTCATATGAAAATGAGTCTTTTTGTCTCTTATTAGGAGAAAAAAATTTTCAATTGGAAAGTCATTTTTTAGGAGTAAACTGTATATTTTTAGAAGTTGACCATATCATGAATTCAAATAAATCTAACTTACTTAAGTGATATACAGTTATTAAGAATCCCTACAGCCACCATGAAACAGAGATTCTGAATAGCTCATCTATATACTTTGCATCGAACACTTCACACATATATGAATTTATAAGATGGATTGATGTCTTCACTGTGATGTTAACCGTATATAAAATTTTTATTTTAATTTTTAAAACAAAATTATCGAAAACATTACACTTACTGATAATACAAACTATTCCATCTTTGGTGTAATGTGTTGCAGTGTTACAGACACACAATGAGGTACTAACATCACAAATCTCCCCAGTTGTACAGGTATCACCAGAACAGGGTGTACCCACATCTGCCTGACATCCTCCATTGTACAAAAAGATTATCTGTGCGAAGAAAATAAAACAATATTTTAAACATTCATATAACATAAACTTAAATGTAAAATGCATAAAATATTTATGTAATAAAGCATAAAAAACATTAATGTATATACTTACTGTATAGCTATCATAATAATTTTACCCTGCAAAATTTTGACTTGTAGTAAAAGAACCAAATGTTTCTTGTGTCTGTTGTATTATAAATACATACATACTGACTTGTGATTATACCAGCATGAACACTGTGAAAGTGTCATTTAATCTATGTACATAATGCACAGTATAA